TTTTTTTTTTTTTCTTTTTTCTTTCTTTCTTTTTTTTTTTTTGAGATTTTACTTCTTTCAAAATTACCCTATTTCCTGAGACCTGAATTCTGTGAAATGACTGGGAGGAGGAGTTTGTTAAAATCAACAACTACTATTTCCCCTCTCCACAAAACCATTATCACTAACACATTTAGTCTTTGTTGGCCAGGGTGGGAAATAGGTTTTAATTGTACTAATGAAGTCTGTAAGCATGAGTGTCAGTTAAAACAAGTTTCCAGCTTCTTCAGACCCTCTTGTATATGTATTCTGTGTACAGTGACATCGACCTAGTGGTGTTTGGGAAGTGGGAGAACCTACCCCTCTGGACTCTGGAAGAAGCTCTTCGGAAACACAAAGTCGCAGATGAGGATTCGGTGAAAGTTTTAGACAAAGCAACTGTAAGTTCTGCAGCATTTCGTATTAAACCTTGGTTATTTACCTATGAAACTTGAATTAAAATTAAAGTTTGGTGAGCACAGTTACATTGCAAGTGAGTGATTCTTTCATTTTGTTAGTGTCACCGTGCTTGCACATAAAAAGTTTTCTGGTTGTCCACGCTGGATTGTGACCACACAATCTTGGGTCACTGCAACCTGTACCTCCTCGGCTCAAGTGATCCTTCTACTTCAGCATCTCGAGGAGCTGGACTACAGACACAACCTGCCATGCCTGGCTAATTTTTTTGTATATTTTGTAGAGACGGGGTTTCACCGTGTTGCCCAGACTGATCTCCAACTCCTGGGCTCAAGTGATCCACCCACCTCTGCCTCCCAAAGTGCTGGGATTGCAGGTGTGAGCCTCTGCACCTGGCCTGCATTTCTTTTTTTTTTTTTTTTTTTTGAGACGGAGTCTCGCTCTGTCGCCCAGGCTGGAGTGCAGTGGCCGGATCTCAGCTCACTGCAAGCTCCGCCTCCCGGGTTCATGCCATTCTCCTGCCTCAGCCTCCTGAGTAGCTGGGACTACAGGCGCCCGCCACCTCGCCCGGCTAGTTTTTTTGTAGTTTTAGTAGAGACGGGGTTTCACCGTGTTAGCCAGGATGGTCTCGATCTTCTGACCTCGTGATCCGCCCGTCTCCGCCTCCCAAAGTGCTGGGATTACAGGCTTGAGCCACCGCGCCCGGCCCATTTCTTTTAACAACAGCAAAATACCCAATTTTATCATACACAGTACTCACTGTAGAGATGTTTGTTTTATTCATTTGCATTATTATTATTTTTTTGAGACAGAGTCTTGCTCTGTCACCCAGGCTGGAGTGCAGTGGCGCGATCTCAGCTCACTGCAAGCTCCGCCTCCCGGGTTCACACCATTCTCCTGCCTCAGCCTCCTGAGTAGCTGGGTCTACAGGCACCCGCCACCACTCCTGGCTCATGTTTTGTATTTTTAATAGAGACGGGGTTTCACTGTGTTAGGCAGGATGGTCTCAATCTCCTGACCTCGTAAGCCGCCCGCCTCAGCCTCCCAAAGTGCTGGAATTACAGGCGTGAGCCACTGCGCCCAGCAATATTTTATTCATTTTTTTAGAGAGAGATACAGTCTCACTATGTTGCCCAGGCTGTTCTCTAACTCCTGGACTCAAGTGATCCTCCCACCTCAGCCTTATGTGTAGCTGGGACTACAGGCGCACCCTACCACGCCTTGCTTATTTAAAAAAAAATTTTTTTTTGTAGAGATAGGGTCTCCCTGTGTTGCCCAAGTTGGAGCATTTTTTGAAAAGAACTCCTGATAGCTCACATAAATAATCATGTCAGTTTTTGAGAATAATTTTTATATCTTATCTTGTCAGGTTGCTTTTTGAGCTATTTGCAAAACTGACCAGTAATGCAAGGGAGTTGTAGTGTATACCTTAAGAATCCAGCAATTTTCTTATTAGAAACAGTTTGATGATACAAAACATTTAATACCTAGTATTCATCGTTCTTCATCTTATACTCAGAAAGTGTTCTCCAAAGTATTGAGGAAGGTTTTTGTTAGATAATTTTAAAATTATTATAACTATATGTCAACTAATAAATGAGATGATGGGCATATTAATTTACTTAACTGTGGTAATCACTTCAGTATGTATATCAGGATAAGTATATCAAAACATGTATGCCTTAAATATAAACAATAAAAATAAATAATCAAAAATTGGACACCAAACAAAATTCTTAATTTATAGAAATTACAAAATATATTGTATGGGGCCCAATGCTAAATATGCAACATATGGTATTTGTAGCAGTCCATGGTTACTGGGGTGTGCCATATTTAGAATACTCAGTGTTCTTATGCTCTCATGAGATGATGGAGACCTCATGTCTAGTAACCCTCCATCCCCTGATTTTGTCATTTAATCTGGTTAAAGCATTTACATTTTACCTTTCTTCTCTTTATAGGTACCTATTATTAAACTAACAGATTCTTTTACTGAAGTGAAAGTTGATATCAGCTTTAATGTACAGAATGGCGTGAGAGCAGCTGACCTTATCAAAGATTTTACCAAGGTCAGAGAATTTAGTGTTTATACAATAAAGCTATTAGAAACGTAATTTTAAGATTCTGTTGTGGTGGTGGTCTAATATTTTTATATGCATGTTGCTGACAAACACCTCTCTCTCTCTCTCTCTCTCTCTCTTTCTCTCTCTCTCTTTTTAAAATAGAGCTAGGGTCTCACTCTGTCACCTAAGCTGGAGTTCAGTGGCTGGATCATGACCCACTACAGCCTCAAACTCCTGGTTTCAAGTGATCATCTCACCTCAGCCTCCCAAGTAGCTGGGACTACAGGCGTGAGCCACTACACCTGGCTTTTTTTTTTTTTTTTTAAGTGTTGGGGATCTCGCTGTGTTGGCCAGGCGGGTCTCTAACTCCTAGCCTCAAGCAATCCTTCTGCCTCAGCCTCCCAAAGCACTGGGATTACAGGCATGAGCCACCATGCTCAGCCTGCACCTTACTTTTGTATGCAATGGTTTTGCTTTCTTTGAATCTGCTTGTAATGATCAGTGATTAACTTTTAATGTGACCTCAAGTAAGAATTAAAAGTTGAGAAAGCTTCTGAAGAAATTGTCTGCTCTAGATCCTTCCTTGTAGAAACAGAAGAGATGGAATTCTGCTACACAGTTGATTCCATCTGTTTTTAACCTTCAGGAGTTCAGATTAAGAACCCTTCTTTTAACCCATTTCCTGTTTGCCCCAAGAATACTGTGCGGGCAGTGAGCTGCACTTTTTTTTTTTCTTTTTTTGAGGCAGAGTCTCGCTCTGTCACCCAGGCTGGAGTGCAGTGGTGCGATCTTGGTTCACTGCCACCTCCGCCTCCCAGGTTCAAGCAATTCTTCTGCCTCGATCTCACAAGTACCTGGGACTACAGGCACCCGCCGCCATGCCTGGCTAATTTTTGTATTTTTAGTAGAGATGGGGTTTCACCGTATTGGCCAGGCTGGTCCTGAACTCCTGACCTTGCGATCTGCTCACCTCAGCCTCCCAAAGTGTTGGGATTACAGACGTGAGCCACCGTGCCCGGCTGTACTTTTTTTTTTTCTAAACAGGAAATAGGTTAAGAGTTTTAAGAGCGTTTTCTAGATTTCAATCCCTAAATTACCTTTAAGGTGTTTCCTACAGGCTTTTTTACTTCTATTTTGAAATGATTTAAGTTTATTTCTATTCTATTTTCTTCCAAGATAGAGAAGAATTTGTCACCATTATTTGTGGAACATTTTACATACTTAGATAGTTGTCGGCTTTCTCCCCTCTAACCTAAACTATTAACTCCTTTGGCTTCTGTTAGAATATTCACAATTTTTTTTTTTTCTCAAGCAGCTCTAAAGTTTCTATTTCTTCTTTGTTTTTTAAGAAAAAATGTTAACTACTTGATATTGCAAGCATTATCATCTTGCATAAATGTATGGAAGACAGAAAAGCAGAAAAATAAAAGAAATATTATCCATAATCTCACTATATTGGGTGTGTGTATGTGTGTGTGCATGCGCGCCTGTCTAATATTTTTCTGGAAAAAAGCTTTTAAAAATTGAAATTCGTATGCATGATAACATTCATCAGTATGAAGAGATGGTGTAAAGTGAGTCACCCTTACACCATAGATACTTAGATCATTTTTATAGAATTTCTCATTGCCAGTTATTATTTTTTGTGTTGCTTTTTTATGTTCTTTAAAATTATAAGCAAAAGGAGTAGCACATTATACACACATAGTCTCATACCTTTGTAAAAACTTAATGTTTTGGAGGTTTCTTCCATATTGACACATAGAGGCTTGCTTTATTCTTTTTGTTGGTTACACAGGCAGTAGTCTTTTGTAAGACTGTGGCTGCTTGATTTAGCAGTTCTTCAGTGTTGTTCCAGTTTTTCTTTTGCTATTAGAAAAAGGGATTGACGAATATACTTCCATGCATGCATCTTGCTTTACACGTGCAAAATGTTTGTAGGAAGAGTCCCAGAAGCAAAATTTTGAGGTCGAAGGGTATATCCAGGTAAAACTGCGTTAGATATTTCCCTAATTATTTATTCTTTCATATTCTCGTTTTCTCTCTCTCCCTCCCCCTTTTCTTCTCCCTCTCCCTATCCCTCTCTCTCTTCCTCTGTCCCTTCCTTTCTCTTTTCTCTCTTTTTCTTTCCCTTCCTCTTCTTTTCTTTTCTCCTTTTCTTCCTTCCCCTTTCCCTTTTCCTTCCTTCTTCCTTTTCTTCCTTTCTTTAATTTTTTGACACCAGGTCTAACTCTGGTACCCAGGCTAGAGTGCAGTGATCATGGCTCACTGCAGCCTCAGCCTCTTGGGCTCAAGTGATCCTCCCACCTTAGCATGAGTGTCTGGGATCACAGGCGGGCCTACCACACCTGGCTAACTCTTTTTTTTTTTTTTTTTTTTTTTAATGGAGTCTCACTCTGTTGCCCAGGCTAGAGTGCAGGGGCGTGATCTCGGCTCACTGCAACCTCCGCCTCCTGGGTTCAAGCGATTTTCCTGCCTCACCCTCCTGAGTAGTTGGGATTACAGGTGCGCACCACCACGCTCAGCTAATTTTTGTATTTTTAGTAGAGATGTAGTTTCATCATGTTGGCCAGGGTGGTCTCAAACCCCGACCTCAGGTGATCCGCCCTCCTCAGCCTCTGGAAGTGCTGGGATTATAGGCGTGAGCCACCAAGCCCGGCCACTTTTTTTTTTTTTTTTTTTCAAAGTAGAGATGAGGTCTTGCTATGTGGCCCCCCCTTTTTTTTTTCTTTTTTTTTAAATAGAGATAAGGTCTTGCTATGTTGCCCAGGCTGTTCTTAAACTCCTTGCTTGACCTCCCAAAATGTTGGGATTATAGGCATGAGCCACCAAACCTGACCCCTTATTGTTCTTTGAAAGGGAACTGTATCTAGACTAACCTAACTACAATTTTTTTTTTTTTTTTTTTTTTTTGGAGACAGAGTCTTGCTCTGTCACTCAGGCTGGAGTGCAGTGGTGCGATCTTGGCTCATTGTACCCTCCACCACCCGAGTTCAAATGATTCTTGTGCCTCAGCCTCTACAATAGCTGGATCTACATACGTGTGCCACCACGCCCGGCTAATTTTTGTATTTTTAGTAGAGATGGGGTTTTTCCATGTTGGCCAGGCTGGTCTCGAACTCCCTACCTCAAGTGATCTGCCCACCTCAGCCTCCCAAAGTGCTGAGATTACAGGCGTGAGCCACCGTGCCCAGCCCACAATGTTTAAAAATACTTACTTCTCCATATTTTTGTTCTTTCCTATGCTTGCTTAGTTTGATACAATTTGCAAAAGTATAAGCTTTTTTTTTTTTCTTTTTTATAGAAGCCATGCGTGTTCACTGTAGGACATCTAGAAAACAGAGATAAGAGTAAAGAAAAAAATAGAAATCACTGGCCAGGTGCTATGGTTCACACCTGTAATCCCAACACTTTGGGAGGCCCAGGCAGGCAGATCACTTGAGCTCAGGAGTTCAAGACCAGCTCAGGAGTTCAAGACCAGTGGTGAAACCCTGTCTCTACAAAAATACAAAAATTAGCTGGGTGTCGTGGGCTGAGGTGGGAGGATCACTTGAGCCCAGGAGCTGGAGATTGCAATGTGCCAAGATTGTGCTACTGTACTCCAGCCTGGGTGACAGAGTGAGGGGGAAAAAAATGGAAATAACTAGTAATTTTACCACCCTAAGTAATAATAGCTGTTAAGACTTCTTTGAAGATGTTGTGCCTGCTTTGTTTTCCTCAGTGGCCTCAGCCTATGGCATGGCTTACAGAGAGGAGTGAATGCATATGTGCACAGCAAAAGGTGGACTCATTCTGTACATACTTGTCCGTTCAGGTGTTCTCTCGGATAGCCCTGCCTCATTCCCTATAAAGCGTGGAAGGGAGGGGTGGTCTGTTTGTAGTCATCAGCCCATGTGTAAGTCAGCAGGCCGGATTCTTGTTTGCCCCAGGACTGTGGCAGAATAATCTAAAGGTCCCTAGTCTACAGTGGCGCGCCACCAAGAAAAGTGATTCTTAAAAATCTCACTGATTTAGTGCTTTAAGATGTTGGTGACTTTGTCCTTGTACTCTTTCTATTATCTGTTTACAAATGAATGTTAGAGGGTCATGGTCACAAATGAGCATCATCAGTTACATGCTGTTTGTGTTTCTATCCTATAGCAAGTACTTTTTTTTTTTTTTTTTTTGAGACGGATTCTTGCTCTGTCGCCCAGGCTGGAGTGCAATGGCACGATCTCACCTCACTACATCCTCTGCCTCCCGGGTTCAAGTGATTCTCCTGCCTCAGCCTCCCAAGTAGCTGGGATTACAGGCTCCCGCCACCACTCCTGGCTGTTTTTTATATTTTTAGTAGAGACAGGGTTTCATCATGTTGGCCAGGCTGGTCTCTTAACTCCTGACCTCAGGTAATCTGCCTGCCTTGGTCTCCCAAAGTGCTGGGATTACAGGCATGAGCCACCATGCCCAGCCCTGTAGCAAGTACTTAGATGCTATTATTCCTGTGTACATGTCTTACATTTTAGATATAAGGGGAGAACCATTCATTACCTATAGTTTACTTTTTTTTAATAGCTTACTCTTAGAATGGAAAATTAAGTATGTTGTATATCGCTACCAAATTTTATAATGTAAGGACCAATTTATGCCCCTCTTAATGCTTAGATCTGTTGCTGATACAGGAATTCATTGAAAATACAATTTTCTTTTTCAGAAATATCCTGTATTGCCATACTTGGTTTTAGTATTGAAACAATTCCTATTGCAGAGGGACCTTAATGAAGTATTTACAGGTGGAATTGGTTCTTATAGTCTCTTTTTAATGGCAGTCAGTTTCCTTCAGGTAAGTCATATGGGTATACCATGCTAGTGCACACTAAAAGCAAAAGTGATCAATCAGCTGGGAAACATTTTGGAAAAAATCAAAATCAACCTGTAATTGCATTGCTTTCCTTGATTACTTACGGTTTTTCCCTTTAAACTGGGTACATTTTTATCATTTAGCAAATGCATATTTTTAAATTCCTGTGAAAGAATATTTTTGGTTTTAAATCCCATATATTCCAGTATTTTTGAGACTTTTCACTGCAAATTTTAACATGCAGAATGTATGGCCTGGTTTCCATAAGCGTAAATAGTATAAGTGCCAGCAATAAGAATGTCTTCTAAGCAGCTAAATCTTGTAAGTTTAGTTTTAATTGAGACCTGCTATTTGGATAAGCAGATTCGAGTCTTAGTATTGTAAATGGGTGTGTTTATGTGGCGCAGGGTTGCCAACTGCCTGAGTCTATTCGTGAGTCAGAACGACTTTGCTGATGTCTTGGGCCAAGCCAGCCCAGGTCGGCAGCCTGGTGCAGCTGTAAAATTCAGCCTTACAAACAGTCTCCCACCATTCCCGCACCATGGAACTTTAGTGTTGTGTGTAACAGCAGTATAGGCTGCTGTTATCCCATTATCAATTGACTGCTATGCTAAACCAAAATTATAATAATATTGCTTGTAGAAGTTAGAATATAATTTATTCCCCCTCTCCTTGATAATTTAGCAAAAATCCAATATAATTTCTTCTTTTCTGCTTTTAGTTACATCCCAGGGAAGATGCTTGCATCCCCAATACAAACTATGGTGTTCTCTTAATAGAATTTTTTGAATTATATGGACGACACTTCAATTATTTAAAGACTGGCATCCGGATAAAGGATGGTGGTTCATATGTGGCCAAAGATGAAGTACAGAAAAATATGCTAGATGGCTACAGGCCATCAATGCTTTATATCGAAGATCCTTTACAACCAGGTATTGAAATTAGGTAAATTTTTGGGCATTCAAAGAAAGGGCACTGTCAGTCACCTTATTATACTTTAAATTCTCTTTAGATGAAAAATGAAGGAACAACTTCTAATTGTTATTCTTTTTTCATCAAAATATTTCATGAGCAAACATACTAAAATAAACAGACACAGACAATCGAAAAACACCTTGGAGACTTCCAGATAAGTAGGGAGTAGAATCTGTTTAACCCTAAAAGCATAGTAGAAAAGGCATTACTTATTTGGATGGATTCATGTTTGGTGGCTGCTTCTCCTTTTTCTTGGGTCCTTATTGCCTTGATTATAACCAGTTGTCAGCAATTAATGAGGCTTTAATGAGATGATTCTGAAGTCCTTAGAGGCAGCAAGCACAGTAATGTATCTTTGAATTCATGAGCAGAAGGATGCAAGGAGACAATGTATTTTCTTTTTGAATTTCTCCTTTCCTCTTTGATTTTGCATGTCTCTTTGTGCTTTTTCCAGCTTCGTGTGGGCTTGAAAGTAAGCAGAAAGTAAATTCCTTCCATGCTTTTCTGAAGTTCTGTTTGCTTGCTTGTGTCCTGATTTTTCTGAGCAATATTTTTTCTTGATATAATTGTAAAATATTTAGATTCTGCATTGTTGGACTTCAGTGGAAGTGCTTTTAGTCATTTGCTTTAATGTGTAAACTTTGAAAATGAGTAAGGAAAGGGAGTGAAAAGATACAGTAGTTGCCTAGGAACCATTTCTGGCTTATTGAGCTGCCTTATAAACATTAATAGTTCTATGTGTTTATTCACTGAGAAAACATTACATTGATTGGGAGCCTGCTGTGTTCAAAAGCATTGGGCCAAAGGACACGAAGACTTTTCAGCAAGATGATCCTTGCTTTTTAGGGGCTCATAATTTAGAGTGATAAATAGATATATAGCTAATATAAACCCAAAAAATATAGAATTATTTCTAATGTAACTTGGGGTTTCACTCTTAGGAGTGAACAGGGCGCTATTTCTTTTGTTTGCATAACTGTTTATGTATGGAATGGGATAGTTCTTGATGGGCCAGAATACATTTCGACAACTGATACACCATAATGAAGTACCAACTGCATGATGCACATATTCAGAGACTGGGGAGCTTTGGGAACAGCTCACAGCTCAGCTTCCAGGCACAACTCTGGTGGGATAGCTATGGCCCTTGCTCTCCTGGAAGAGGGTCGTCAACATTTAGTGCACATTAAGCACAGTCAAGCTTACTATGTTACCTATATTTCTTTTAAAGGTAATGATGTTGGAAGGAGTTCATATGGGGCCATGCAAGTGAAGCAGGCCTTTGATTATGCCTACGTTGTTTTGAGTCATGCTGTATCACCAATAGCAAAGTACTATCCCAACAATGAAACAGAAAGGTAAAAGTTCATCTGTAACCAGCCCATTGCGTCAAAATTGGTTGTGGCTTCTTATCTTCAAATTAATGTTATTCCCTCCCTCTCCCTTTCTTTTTAAACACGTGCAGCATACTAGGTAGAATAATTAGAGTAACAGATGAAGTCGCCACATACAGAGATTGGATATCAAAGCAGTGGGGCTTGAAGAATAGACCTGAGCCTTCATGCAATGGTAAGATATTTTCCTTGGTCGATTGACTGAGTATTAGAGGCTTTTCTGTGTTGTGTGCGTTTAATGGGAAGAAACGTTTTCCAATCTTTTGCCACTCTTTCAGGAAATGGTGTTACCTTGATAGTAGATACTCAGCAGTTAGATAAATGTAATAATAATCTATCTGAAGAAAATGAAGCCCTTGGAAAATGTAGAAGTAAAACCTCGGAATCTCTTAGTAAACACTCTTCAAACTCTTCATCAGGTCCAGTGTCGTCCTCTTCTGCCACACAGTCCAGCTCTAGCGATGTAGTAAGTATGAAAGCCTCAGCTCTTCTGAACTCAGACGCATGCACGTTCTCTTGCTGGGATTAATGCTGTCTTGAAGGCTAAGGCTACTTCCTTTGCTTACATTTTACTGGGATATTTTAATAACTTCCATGCTTGTACTTTTTCTCAATATTTTGTTATGAAAAATTTCAAACATACAGCAAAAGTGAACAAATTTTAGTGAGCATTCATGTACTCACCAATAGATTCTGCCATTAACCTTTTACTTGCTTATCTCATACCTGTCTATCCATCACTCTATCCATTAATTCATCTTATTCTTTGATCTATTTCAAAGTAGATTACAGACATCAGTTCCCCTAGAGTACTGTAGCTTGTGCATCCTTGTAGCCAGACTCCAATATTTGTTTATTGTTTTTTCCTTTTTTTTTCTTTTGAGACGAGGTCTCCCTCTGTCGCCCAGGCTGGAGTGCAGTGGTATGATCTCAGCTCACTGCAACCTCCGCCTCCCATGTTCAAACGATTCTGTCTCAGCCTCCTGGGTAGCTGGATTACAGGCGCCTGCTACCACACAGGACTAATTTTTTTGTATTTTTAGTAGAGACGGGGTTTAACCTTGTTGGCCAGGTTGGTCTCAAACTCCTGAACTCAAGTGATCCGCCTGCCTCACCCTCCCAAAGTGCTGGGATTACAGGCGTGAGCCACCATGCCCAGCCTATTTTTTCCTTTTGATATGAAATTGACATATAAGGAAATCTTAATTGTACATTTACTAAATTTTTTTTTTTATTTCCCTAATTTTTTTACTTTCATGGTCTAGGTTACTTGCTCATATGTTCACTAAATTTTATCAAATACATACATACACATGTATAGCCCAAAATCCTAATAAGGTACAAATATTACCGTCAACCTAAAGAGCAAGCTCATGATTCTTTCATCAGTCCCTAACCCCACCCTCAGAGGGAACCACTGTTACGATTTTTTTTTTTTTTTTTTTTTTGAGATAGAGTCTCGCTCTGTCGCCGAGGCTGGAGTGCAGTGGCGTGATCTTGGCTCACTGCAGCCTCTGCCTCCCGGGTTCAAGCGATTCTCCTGCCTCAGCCTTCTGAGTAGCTGGGATTATAGGTGCACACCACCGTGCCTGGCTAATTTTTTTTATTTTTAGTAGAGACGGGGTTTCACCATGTTGGTCAGGCTGGTCTTGAACTCCTGATCTCGTGATCCACCTGCCTCAACCTCCTAAGTTGCTGGGATTACAAGCATGAGCCACCCCACCTGGCCTTTAACATTTTTCTTTCTTTTTTTTCTTTTTTCTTTTCTTTTTTTTTTTTGAGACAGAGTCTTGCTGTGTTACCCAGGCTGGAATGTAATGGCATGATCTTCGCTCACCACAAGCTCCACCTCCTGGGTTCAAGCGATTCTCCTGCCTCAGCCTCCTTGAGTATCTGGGATTACAGGCACGTGCCACCACACCGAGCTAATTTTTTCTATTTTTAGTAGAGATGGGGTTTCACCATGTTGGCCAGGCTGGTCGCAAGCTCCTGACCTTGTGATCTGCCCACCTTGGCCTCCCAAAGTGCTGAGATTACAGGTGTGAGCCCAGCTGTTACGACTTTTTAACACCATAGTTAGTTTTGCCTGTTTCAGAATTTCATATATATGGAACCACATAGAATATACTTTTGTGTAAGGCTTCTTTCACTCAATTTTTTTCAGCTTCCTGGTTGAATTTTGTTTGTTTTTTTTGGTTTTTTTTGTTTTTTGAGACGGAGTCTCGCTGTGTTGCCCAGGCTGGAGTGCAGTGGCGTGATCTTGGCCCACTGCAAGCTCCACCACCCGGGTTCCCGCCATTCTCCTGTCTCAGCCTCCCAAGTAGCTGGGACTACAGGTGCCCACCACCGCACCTGGCTAATTTTTTGCATTTTTAGTAGAGACGGGGTTTCACCATGATCTCGATCTCCTGACCTCGTGATCCACCCGCCTAGGCCTCCCAAAGTGCTGGGATTAGAGGCGTGAGCCACTGTGCCCAGCCAAATTTTTTTTAATTGAGGTATAATTAACATAAAATTCAGCATTAAAAATGTACAATTCAGTAGTTTTTGGAACATATTCACAATGTTGTGCAGCCGTCTCCAGTAATTCTAGAACATTTCCATACCCCAAGAAGAAACCCTGCATTTAGTAGTAGTTTCTCCTAATTCTTCCTTCCCTCCCTTATCCTCTGGTAATTTCTAATCTACTTTCTCTTTCTACCCTGATAGAATTTTTTTTCTTCCCCCATCCTGATAGAATTTATGTGTCAATTATAATGTAAGTTACCTTTTAAAATCAAGGTTAATTTGTAGTTTACTGATTTGATATCTAAAGCAGGCTTACCTGTTTGATTTTAACTTTATTAAGTGTAGGACATGAAAAGTAATCTAAATATTGTATGTTGTTGATGACCTTGTGTCAATATGGAATCATAAATCCTCCTGTGCAAAATCTCCCCATGTGCCTTTTTGGTTCCTAGAGCAGTATGCTCTGGAGGACAGAATGCCAAGCTAGATGTCACAGACATAGGGAGATGGAGTCTTGGGAAGTGAGAGAATGCGACTCTGAGATACTGGGTAAAGTGCCAGGGCCAGGGTGGAGACCTGCAGAGAGACGTAGCATTGTCATGGCCCAAGCAGCCCAGAAACAAGTGGGGCTCAGCCCACTGTCGCTGGGAAGTCTGCACCCACCCACACTAGTATGTTTGGTTGGAATGATCACTGATTTGTCATTACAGACAAATGACATCTTGTGTCTGGCTGAAGCCAGGGACTAGGACCTAGGTTCCTCACTCCTTACCGTACATACTCTTTCATTTTCTATAAATAAAAAAACAAATAAACTCAGACCTCTGTGAGCTCTTTCAAGGTAAGATGTGGGCAGTGGATTTAACAGTGAACAGAAGCTCTCTGATAAAATCAGTCACTTTAAATGTTTAGAGGAAAATTTAAACAAACAATTAATTTTGTAAATTCCTCAGTGTGCTTCTTTTAACTCCCAAATGTTTAAATTTAGTCTAGAGAGTACTTTAACCAAAATTGTTTTTCTTTCTGAATATTGAGTATCTAAATTACTAATATGTCACATTATAACTCATGTGACTTGTGTTAGGATTCCGATGCAACACCATGCAAAACCCCGAAACAGCTGCTTTGCCGTCCGTCCACTGGGAACCGAGTAGGGTCGCAAGATGTATCCCTGGAGTCCTCTCAGGCAGTTGGCAAAATGCAAAGCACCCAAACCACTAACACATCCAACAGCACCAACAAATCTCAGGTATGTGGAACGTGGGTTTTTAATTGTTAGTATTTGATACAAAATATTTAGAGTTTCCTACATGTGAATAATATGCAGCATGGGTTTGAAGAAAACGCTAGATTGAAGAACAAACTTACTTTATTCTAAGAGATTCCAACACATGACAGTGCTTCTAGGAACAGGATGTCCTAAGGATCTTTGTGAGACACCATTGTAACATAAACCTCTTCAGAAATCTATTGACTGGTCCTTATAAGATGTTCCAGCCAAACTACCATATAAAAAATGTTTCAATTGTACATGAAATAAGTTGGCGTGAAGGTTTTGTAAGGCCTCATGGCAGTGTGCATGTCTGGGAATAATGTATCCTTTTCTAATATTTTAATGTTCAATACCTTGTTGCCCGTGTTGAAAGGATCAGCTGGCTGTCAGGCATGGTCAGTTGATTAACATTAGCCTGGACTTAAAAGGCCACAGAGATACTCTAGTTTAAGTTTTTTTGTTGCCTAGAATTGTCATTAACTGAGTAATGACTCAGAGTGAGGGGAGGAAGCCATTGACATCGGGCTCTGGCCTGAGGCTGGGTCACTCCTAACTATAACTAGGAACCTCGGAAGAGGCCTCTTGGCTGTTACCTTGTGTCTGATTTGACTCACTGAGTTCACTTTACCTCCGCGGCTTTTAGCCATGTATGCCAGACATAGACTCGTTGCAAAATACCAGTTCAAGTGACAGGGTTGACAGAAGGGACTGGGGTCATGAGAAAGCCACAGGCCGTGAATAGCAGGAAGGGAGTGGCCACCTGTGCTGACCCCAACCTACCCGTGTGCCTGTCATGTCCAAGAGCCTCTTCCCGCTATGTCACTTATGATGTGGTATTTGGGTTGGTAGGTTTCTTAAGAAAACCTATACATCCCACACACACTGTTAAGAAGGTAAGCGAGTGGTCTATGCTTTTCAATATTTCCATTAAAATAAAGTAAGGGTTTCAGAGCTAAAAAGAGTTAACCCCTGTAACAGCTTTTTCTGCCCACTAGATAAGTCAGTGATCAGTAAGGTAACTCTCTAGCCAACATATTCCTAGTTTTGAAAGCTGCCCCGAATCCAGATGCTTTTCTGCAATACTGATGTCTTTGTGGTCGTTTTCTGTTTCTGCAGCATGGATCAGCAAGGCTCTTTCGTTCTTCCAGCAAAGGCTTCCAAGGTACAACTCAAACAAGCCATGGTTCCTTGATGACAAACAAACAACATCAAGGCAAATCCAATAATCAGTATTACCATGGCAAAAAGAGGAAACACAAGAGGGACGCGCCCCTCTCAGACCTCTGTAGATAGTCGGCGCTGCGCGGTGGACTGTCTTCTCTGTGCAATGATCTCATGCTCAGGACAGTTGCGCAGGGACTCCTGGGAGACATTCAGGAGCCTCACACTGTTCAGACGTTGATTTAGCAACTGCGTTTTTTCCCAGCTCGCCACAGAATGGATCATGAAGACTGACAACTGCAAAAAAAAAAAAAAAAAAAAAAAAAAAAAAAAAAAAAAAAAACACTGTTCAGGACGCTGATTTGCAGCAACCGCGCTTTTTTCCCAGCTCTCGCGCCGCTGGCAGAATGGATCATGAAGACTGACAAACCGGCAAAAAAAAAAAAAAAAAAAAAAAAAAAAAAAAAAAAAAAAGCAAGCATAAAAGGGGGAAAAAAAGGCTGCTTATTTGATAAGTCATATGCTACAACAGGGTCATTTTAAGATTTAAAGCTTGAATGTAAAATAAATATATTTCTCATTGGCTTTATGCAGAGTTATAGGGAATAGTATTCAGTGTTGGTAGGGTGATAGAAACAATATCAGAAGATGGGGTGGGGAAGGAAAACAAAGGTATCTGATAGGAAGTCCAGATTCCAAAGGGGAAAGTGATCTGTGCATGTTTTTGTTTTTTTTTTTTTAATATTTTTGCATATATTTACCATTTTATTGTGTGTATGTATAGAAGACCATATAGGAAATTGATATTTGTAATAGTGGATTTGTTAATAATACTTTTTACATAACATTACTGTTTAAATTGTAAACAGATTTTTTCTCAGGATTAGTTTGAAAAATAATCTAAATTGTCATCTTAACATCCATATATAGGGAAGTGATTAGTTCTATTACTCAATTTGTTTTTCTCAGCATTGAAATGACTTAATAGAACCCTTGTGTCCTGCTGCAAAAATTTCTCCTCTCTAAAGAGAAGGTTTATGGTGGCAAATGATGTTTATTTTATTTTGTAAAAAAAAAAAAAAAAAATGTACTATGTACTTTTGTGTAAACACTGAAAAATCTCTGGTCATCTCTGAGAATTAACTTGCAACTGTTTTCTATAGTGCTGTCGTCTTGGGCAATGGGCAATTACATGACTTTGTGTTTGCTGCCTTTGCAGTCTTTTTTTTTCCCCCCCATTTCTTCCTAATAGGAAAAAAAAACCCAGAAAAACAAAACAAAACAAAAAACAGCCACCCATGTCTGGTCTCATTCCTGTTGCAGTGAAACTTCGAGTTCCACAGACTTTGCATGCTGGCTTCTCTAACCCTGTGTGCTGCGTGTGCCTGTTTCTCATCTCTTATTCTTTTTAAAATTCATGCTTAACTACTGTGGGAGAATAACTGTAAACAGCTTTAATTAAATCATACTTATAAAAAACTATTTTCTTATATTCCACTTTATGCTTTTGGTATTGTTGATCTTTCCAAATTAAATGGTCTTTGATAATGGATCTATTTTGTATTGCCTTATTAAGACCAAATACTTCTTGTCATCCCATTCTTTATCCTCTTCTTTCATGGAATTGTTATCGTTAATTAAAACTTTTTTAAGCATTGGCTTGTTTCAATCATACTGTAAATTTTGGTTGTAGTCAGCTTTGAGTGCAATGAGATGTATAATTCTGTTATCATTACCTGTTGAGTTTGAAACTCAGTTGGGAATATTTAATATAATAGAATGTAAGTGACATTTCTGAAAATGCTTTCTTTCAGGGTGAAAGCTCTTATGTTTAGCATCAGTGTGTATGGCTCTGTTAAATACAGCCATTTCTGAGACAAGATTCTTTTATATATATATACATATAAAGTACTATTGGCTTTTAGGAGTTTCTTTTATATACATTTATGAAATACTGAAGACCAATCAGACCATTAATGGACACTTAGTGTAACTTTTTATAAAGAAAATAATGCTAAAGTAAGACCAAAACTGATGTCATCACTGAAATTAACAATTTTCAATATGTTCATATTTTAATTCACAATGGAAAAATGTGTTCCAAAACTGGAAACTCATAGTACTCGTGTAAACTGTGGAAGATTTTAAATGTGATGTTATTTTGACAATGTTTTAAATTTTTGAGTCACATTCTGATCAGAATTTTTATCGAGATGTTGAGCTTTTGTTTTTGAAACTAGTTTGTCATAACATTGTGCATAATCACAGTATTTATTTTCTAGGACAATTGTGAATGTGTAGACTTATGTTTACTGCTAAGGGAACAATTATTTATAAAATAATATTAAATCCAGTATTAGCTGCCTATTTCAGACACTTAATACTTGCAGAGATCTATGTTACATTTACCACACTGAAGTTTTTTTTGTTGTTTTTTGTTTGTTTGTTTTTAAAGAATCACCCTCATTGTTGAAAGTAAATGTACTCTTAGGGTGCGAATATTAGTGTTCCAATAAGCATGTGATTATATTAAGGTGGTGGTAGCGGGAAGATAATCTTGATTCCATTGGGAATCTTAGGTTTTCGTAAATTTATTGGGAAAATAGTTTTTCCTGTACTGCTGAAGTTTCTTTTTGGTAAACAGTATCTTTCTAAAAGAAAAAAGCATGAAGGAGAAATTGAGGTGTGTATACATTTCCTCAAATGACCAGCATTGTATTCGTGAATACTGTGTATCTTGCAGTGAACAGTGTGGAAGCTGTTCATTTTTCAATCTGAAGTAAAATACTTTCAATAACTTTTAGTTTGCCTGCTCATTTGTTTTATACATTTCATCTCTCTATTTGACTCCTATCTTACTTCTTTTTTGAGTTTTAATACTTTCTATAAAGATTTTGTGAATATATCAGAAATGTGTCATTTATATATTATAGTCCATTCATATCCATGAATCATAACCTTCCTTTGCTAATACTTGTAGAATGGGATTTTACAAATTCTGCCTCACTCTGATGACATTTCTCTGGCAGTCATGTATGTGTACCTGGCCATTAGAAATATTATTATTTAAATACTGTTTTTTAGAGGTGCTGATGGGTTTGGCGAGGTGTCAGCACAAAATCTTATGGGTTATGTTTTGATGATAAAAGTATATCCATTTTTTCCCTCCAGCTTTAAGGTGACTGTGAAGGTGCCTGGTTTTGAACGTCTTTGTTTGGTTTGGAGATGTTGCACTCAGTTTTCAAATCTAGCTTGGATCTGTAGGACCTATGTATTTTATAAGTAATTGCCCTCCAGTCTTCAGCAGTTGATTCTGTTATATTTTTGGCCTGTTTTGAGTGTACTTTACCTTTACTTGCATTTTGAGCCTTATTAATATTTAGCTTATTTGATTTGGCTCCAGTATTCCTAGATGAAATCTGCACAGGGCAAAACATGGGCAATAGGGTGAGCATTTTTAATTGTCTTTTTCCACTGGAAACTTATATATCTCCATGTGTTTTCTGCTCATTCCCTCCCCCATGAAATGGTAAGTGTACTTGTGTTTGCCTGAACCTATGGACTAGTGTTTGGGGTTTCTGGAAACACTAGAGGATCAGAAAAGAGTAATAACCACGTGAAGTGCAGGATTCTCTTGCTGTGACATGTTCGTTGCAAAGCCCTCTCCAGCGACTGGGAGGTGTAGTTGTTAAGGTTGATCTGTTAGAAATCACCATTATGAGGTATTAGTGGTAAATGTTGGTGATATTTTTATTGGTCATGACTACATCTCAGTTTTACTTTAATATTGATCTATAGTTTGATCAGTTCCTTGAATTCTAACATGTTGATTTCTCAATGTTTCTGTCACTAACCAAGAATGTTTCTAGACAGTTGGTTGCTTCACAGTCAAAATTAAATGGTAAACTATCAAAAAGACATTCCCAATTTTGCTGTGATAAATATTGAAACATTAAAATTAATGAACAGAAGAATTTATTCTTACCCATCTATTCTTCTTCTCCTAGTTCATTACACTTTTTCAGTTACTGGAAAGGCACATTCTCTAAGTATTTGGTGAGCAAAATATTCTATAAATGCCTCTAACAAACCTAATTGAATATAAAAGTTACATTTAGTAGTTACTGTTGATAGTAATTTTCATCAGGGTCATAGTTCATCTAGTAAAATATTTAGAGAATGACGTTAACATTCCAGCATTAAAGTAGGAACAAAGATTTGTATGTGAAATTCCTTGAAAGAGTTCATCTTGCCTTGGTTTCTGACCCTCAAGACTAGCTACCTGCCATCTTGTCAGAACATTTGTGGGTAGAATAAGTGTTAAAGATCAAATTTTAATGTGCTCCTTGATATTTAACATAGCTAAGAAACAAGCCAGATTTTACTGCAGAAGTTATTTACATGATTTGAAAACTCGACCTAACTGGAAGCCTTTTTCTCAGTTACCTTGTTCTGAGCCGTCTTGACTTCACACCATTAGCAACTTTTCTTTTTTTTGGGTCAAAGATAATGAGCTAAATATATGTAGACATTGAATGTTGACAAAATTATTAACCAGAAAAATTGCTTATAAAGTCTGCTGATCTATTTGATATCTAGAATTAAATATTTGAGGACAGTTTTTAGTTAGTAAACTGCTAATGTTTATTTTACTGTCTCTCAGGTTTTTGGTTTTTTTAAAAAAATATGTTTGGCCTTTACATTTTCTATTTAAGTGTGTACTTTATTGAGTTTAACCTTGTCTGTAGCCTAGTAGCCTAAAAGAAAAGGAGGCGGAACCAGAGAGATGGATGTAGTGCATTCCCTTTGGTTATTATTAATTTGTGGTAGCTCCTGGATTTACTGAGAGAGATTTTAGCTATGTCAATAAGAACAGCTAATGATGTGGAAATCAGGTGTTCTCTTGTGTATTTCAGTGAACGTTTTTATTAGTATTTGCATATCATCTCTAGTTCTACGTTTTAACTTAACGTCCTTGTGGCTTCACCACTGAGGTACCTTTCACTACACCAGCTACTGTGTGGCCTGGTAACATGGAAGGTCTCTCCTAAGGACAGTCTGGACATATTTTGGGGGAACGTTATTTATCTTAAAGATGCCTAGAAACAACGCATATAGTACCAGTGACAAAGTATGAAGTAAACAAGTTGCTCAGGCTGGGCATGGTGGCTCACGCCTGTAATCCCAGCACTTTGGGAGGCTGCAGTGGGAGGATTGCTTGAGGCCAGGAGTTCAAGACCTTTGTCTATTAAAAAAAACAAAAACAAAAACCTGAATGGTGAGGTGGGGTAGAATTGGGTAGGGGAGGGAAAGGAGGACTTGGAAAAGCATTCCCCAAAGCCA